TTGCTTACTAAAGGGTTTTCATGTTCCTGTGAAGGGGCTTTAAAGTCTCCCCCAGGCCCAGCATTCTCTGTTCTCCTGGCTGCCTTCCAGATGTTCCGACTGCTTTCTTTTTCCTCTGCCCTTTGCTCTTTAGTGCCTGTCTTTCTTTTCCTTTCCTAGATTTCTGTATTTACTAAATAGGAAATAAGAAACAGTACTGTGCAGTTGGCTGGCTCTCCCCTCCCCTTTAGAGAGCTAGCAGAAAAGCTAGCTGTGGGTTTTTATGGAAGGCACAGAAAACAAGTCCATAGACCAGCCTCTCTTTCAGCAGCATGTTTTTTAACTGGCTGCTTCAATGGGGCTCAAGTTGTTCCAAGGGCCGGAATGCCAGGGAAACCCTGGGGGAGTGTGGTTAGGACATGGTGCCACTCCCTCTCCCTTTGCTGCCATGAGGCCTGCATAGCACCTCCACACCCAGTGTCCCACACCCAGTCCAGAGCATCTTTGTAGTCCTGGCTAAAGGGAATTTGTACACCAGCCACTGAAAGGTCACACTGAAGCCCATGCAGTCTTGGGTTTAAGAATCCAGCCGATCAGTCTCTCCTATCCCTGTGGCCAAGCAGTGTGGCAGAAGGCTGATTCTGAAGGCCTGAGACTCTCATCAGCATGCCTGAGCAGGGTACCAGTGACTCACACAGCCAGGAGGAAGGAGATAGAGATTAGGACCCCATCAGTCATAGCCCTTTTCTTAAGCAATGGCATTGGTGAAAATGTGATTGGAGGTGTAGATATAATTTTTTCTAATAGATATGAAATAAACATTTGTTTAGCTCATCCAACCACACCCTTCATATCACCAGTGATTCTATACCATTCTTGGGAAGTAATTGCCAAATCTGTAGGACCCTGGGCTGGAGAAAGGACTCAGCAGTTAAGAGCACTGGCTGTTCTTACAGAGGACTAGGGTTCAGTTCCCAGCACCTACATGGCGGCTAATAACCCTCCAAAACTTCAGTTTCAGGGGATCCAATGCCCTCTTCTGACCTCAGAGGGCACTGTATGCACTACATGGTGTACTTACCTACATGTAGGCAAAGCCACTCATACACATAAAATAAATACAAAAATTTTTAAAGTCTGCAGGAGCCCACTGTGCCACTCTGGGCCATTGTTGTAAAACTGAGTCTTTGTCTTGAAACCTGGTACTGTGGGGAAAGAATCCAAACAGGCCTCTTAGCTTCTGCCTTTCCCTTGCAGGTTAACTTCCAGCTCAAGAAAAGCACTGCGCAGGCCTACCCTATGCGGAGAACTCCTGGCCGAGGACAGGGAGGCAAAGCCAAGATGCCTTCCCAGACACCCAAAAAGAAAGACCCTTCAGCAAAGCGGCGGCATAGAGGCCCTGCCTGAAACCCAGAGTCTGGGGCCGCTCTCCAAAAGTTGAGTTCTGCTCCCAGGTTCCATGGCCACTCATCCGTTTTATTATCCAGGACATACTTAAACATAGGCATGTACAGGATAGTTCCAAGTGTTTATGTCAATTCCAGGAGCAAGCCTTCCCTAGACCAGCATTAAAGGAATCAGAACCTACTGGAAATGTGCCATTGTGCATACCTCCAGCAGAGTTCTAGAAGTTTCTGCTCTAGGAGTCTGATTTAGATCCCATGTCAGTCCACTGCATCCAGAAACCAGTTCCAGCTGGTTGGCCAGTCTGTCTCCAGAGCCTAGCATGGAGCTTGTGACTCAGTGGGTGCTCCCTGAAGCTGTCTGAATGAAAAGCTAAGGCAATCCACAGCAAGACCGGAAGTGCCCAGGACCATTTCCAAAATAGCCCGTGGTTTCCTAGTAAGAAAAGCATCAGCCCCACAATGCCTGGTTCTATTGTTGCTCCTCATCTGTGAGCACTGTTAACGTGTTTGCACCTTTCATTTTCTGGGTATATAGGAGGACATGGAACCCCTGTGGCCTGGTGAGCACTGGCCCCATGTCCAGGAGTGCAGTGTTGAGCCCTGCTGAGTCCCAGCCCAACCTACTGGTTCAGAAAGCATTTTTGAGCAAAGTCGATGTTTCTGAAGACTTGGAAGACTTGTGACATTTTTCATCTTACTAGCTAGTAGCACACAGCTCATGAATCCTCCTCTGGCTTGCTGACCTTCCTGAGTGCTCTTTCCCCATCCCCAGGGGTGGGTGTTAGGGATCAGTTTCCCCACCTACTCCACTATTAACCCAGCTCTCACTACCAAACACTTCGCCTCAGCATACAGTCTCCCTCCCTCTCTCTCTCTCTCTCTCACACACAGACAGACACACACACACACACACACACACACACACGCGCGCACACACGCACACCACATCTCTCACAGACTAACATGTCATTTCTTTTTCTGTACTTTACTTGGATTATCTGGTCTGTGACCAGAAGGAAAATAGAAGAAAACCCATCCTCTCCCAGTTAGATTCTCTCCTCAGGCCAAAAGCTTGACTCTTTCTTTTCTTTCTTCCCAATTTGAGTTCCTTGGGCCCCTTCTTTTTTGAGAAGAGCTCTGCTCAGCACCATGTGCCTCTATACCTGTGCTTGCCACATGTGCTACATTTTTCTAGACTTGTTTGAGTATCACTTACTTTGTTTTCAGGTTCCCTGGTACAAAGTCCCTGGGCAGAGCTGGTGTTTGCAAAATGAGGCCACAGAGTGCTTGCCACAGAATTTCCTTGGTTCATGCATGATGGGGCTGTTTACCGAGTCCTTGCTCCCAAAGGATGCAGACAATACAGAGGAATGAAACACTGTTCATGAGCTCAGCGCAATAGCCAGCTGTGCAGCTGGTAGGCACATCAGCACTGCAATGCACTGTAATAATTGTTGTGACCCTGTAATCTTGGGGCTGTGTTGGAGAGCCCATGAGAAGGGCCCATTATTATCTTGGGAAGGTCAAGAAGGGGATCCCAGTATTAAGGAAGTCCTAAGTCAGATAAAGAGCCAGATATAAAGGGGTTATAGGCCAAGCAGGCACAAACATAAAGACCTGGAGCGTCTTAGAAAGTCTGAGTCTTGTTCAAAGTGATTGCAAGAAATGCAGCATCTTTGGGGATGAGTGAGATGCCAAGGCCAGGGACTTGGGAGGGACCAGTACACACAATGATTTGGACTTTATACCAAAAGACCCAGGAGCGACTGAAGGGTTCTGTTAAATGTAGAACTCAATTGACAGTGATGGCCGAGGCTTCTTTCTGAAGAGCCAGCTAGGCAGGGGCTGCTGGAAGCCTCCTGGGAAGGTAGCCTCAGCCTTGAGAGGGACAGTGGTGGAGAAATACTTTGCAAACCCAGAGCACATGCCCTTGGCTCCCTGTGACTTCCCTGCCCTCCTGGAGACTTCAGTGTCCTCCATCAGATACCTCCTGCCTACTACTGGGAGGTCAAGCATTCAAGTTGTTGCTGAGCTTCACTCCAACCCTAAAGACTATCCAAGTACAACTCACTCAAGCTGAGGCGATTAAGCCACAACTTTATACAGAATGTCCAGGGTCTGGCTGTGACATGAAAATACCACGCTGCATCCTGAGGAGGGCCTTGTGGTTTGTATGTGGTTGACTGTGTTCTCCAAAGGTTCATGAGCTGGAAGCTTGGTCCCCAGTATGGTGGCACTGAGCTGGCAGAAACTATAAGCAACATGGCTTAATGCAGAGTAATTAGGTCTTGAGGCCCTGCCCTCCAAAGAAATGAATGCTGGTCTCCTGGAGTAATGAACTTGAGTGGGTTGTTTCCAAGCTCGAGTGGCCACCCCAGGCACTGGTCCCTTCTGCTTGTGGCCCATTCATTTTCTATTTCTACATGATGTGAAGAGCCATGGGGCCTTTGCCAGGATACAGGTACCATGTTGTTTGGACCCTCCAATCACCAAAATCATAAGTCAAATCTCTTTACTTTGCAAGTTATCCAGCCTCAGGGATTTTTGTTATAGCAAAACAAAACAGGAAGATTGATGTGAAATTACAGGAGTGAGAATGGCAGGGTTGACAGGACAAGACCCTCTGACTTTGGTCTAGCATTTTCTGACTGATACTCTTTCCATTTCATAACTCGAGTTTTATTTTAAAGAAGAAATCTTTCACACAGAAGGCCAGCCTACATGGCTGGTGTCTCCTATGGTGGTAGGACAGCATAGTTAAAGGTGTGGGTTTTGGACTCTGACCTGAGTTGGTTGGTTTGCTTTTGTTTTGTTTTTGTCTTTTTGAGGCAGGGTCTCCCTGTAGTTCCAGCTGGCCTGGAACTCACTATGTAGACCAGGCTGGCCTTGATCTCACAAAGATACACCTGCCTCTGCCTCCAGAGTGCTTGGGATTAAAGGTGTGCGCCACCATGCCCAGCTGGTCCTGAGTTTTAATTGTAGCTCTGCTTTTTTTGCTGTGTGACCATAAGCAAATAACTTGCTTCTCTGAGTCACAGTTACCCATCTGAAAAAACAAGATAACAATGTCTGCCTCACCTGGAGTTCCTGGAAATTAAACATGATTCTCTCATAAAGCATCAAGGAGGGGACCCCCTTCCTTCCTCAGAGAACTGTCACTCCTCAGGCTAGCCCACTGTCAGCCAGTAAATCAGTGAAGCATGAGGGCTTTTGAGTGTAATGAGTCTGTTTGAGTGTGGTTTTCAGACAGGATGATATCCCAGTATCCCCACCCCTACAAAAAAAATCACAGGAAAAAATACTTTTCTTTTTTAATATTCACTTGGGGGGGCACTCATGCAACTGCGATAGCAGGTGTGTTGATAGGGGACAACTTTTGGGAGTTGGTTCTCTCCTGCCACCATGTAGGTCCTGAGGACTGAACTCAGGTCATCAGGCTTGGTGACCTTTGCCCACTGAGCCGTTTTGGTGGCCCTAAACAATGCATTTTAAGAGGTCTGGTATAGTGCACTTTAACCAAAGGGTAACTAGGTCAACACTTTCATTAAAGAGCACAAGTTTGTGTCAGCAAAGACTTCAGCCTTTGGACAACTGATGTATTTACCTTCGGTGGTTCCCATATTTGCCCTGAACTGCTTGTTAGTTGGTTGTGGACGTGCACCATGGGTGCTGATACTAAGTGTTCAGTAACTCTCTGGACAGTATTGCACAGCTTCCAATGGGAGCTCTTCTTTGTTCCCCAAAGATTCAGTCTCACCAGTGTGGGTCACTCTGTGCCCTTGCAGTACCCTTGGAAGAAAAAGTGGAGCGGGAATCTTGAATAGCCCAATGGCCTCACAGTTTACAAATTAATCCTAATCTAATAAGAGCTCAGTACTATGATGTAAAACTTATTCCTGTTAGAGATCCAGGACATAAATCCAGTTTGTGATCTTGTGAACTAATAAATAAACATATGACCTTTGTCTCCTGGCCTCAAGTTTCTAAAACCATTTAATTTTGAGTAATGGTTGAGTCAATGCAAAACACAGCTCTCACCTCAAAGGGAGTAAGAGATCATTTATTTTGAGCCAAATATGAATGTCCTGAGAACATGGCTATATATTGCCCTAAATATCATGTTCCAACATGGAAATGGTTCCATGAACATGTATAGTCACAGAACAAAAGAAAATCATATATTAAGACATTTTCTGAATACACTGGTAGGACTGCCAGGTAGGTGGGTTACAGAAAGTGGAGAAAACTCCCTTTAGTTTTCAGGGGTTATGATAGTTTTAGATTTTGGGTTGGTGGAAGCTAGTGGTCTGTTAATACATCTTAAAGGTTTTACTTGATAGTTGAAAGTGTGTTAAGTCAGACCCAGAGGTGGGTCATGATTGGCTATTAGGCCAAGATCGATTTGGCTCTGGATCATAACATATTAACTCTCCACAATCACAAAATTCTAATCTTTCAGCCCTGTGGAATCTTTAATACAGGTGTCGCCATGGAGGAGAGGAGGGGCAGGAAAGGTTGAGAGAATGAGGGTAGAGGGAGGTGGGGGAGGGGTAAGTATCGGGGAGAGGTGGAGATGTCTTGGCTTACTTTCCTGTTGCTGTGATAAAACTCTGGTAAAAGCAACTCTGGGGAGAAAGGGTTTTTTTCTGGCTCGCAGTTCCAGGTTTCAGCCCATCATTGTGGGGAAGGCTACACCGGCAGGAGCTTGAGGACCCTGGTCACACTGCATCCACAGTCAAGAGGCTCAGAGCGACAAATGCCTGTGCTCAACTTCCTTTCTCCTTTTCATTCAATCCAAGACTCAGGCTAGAAAATGGTGCCACCCACAGTGGGCAAATCTCCCGTCCTCAAAGTAATTAAAACGACCCCTCACAGACATGCCTAGAGGCCCATCTCTCAGATGATTCTAGAGTCTGTCAAGATGACATCACAGGGGTATAGGGTATAGTTGACAGTTTCTCCTGTTAGCCAAGCATCACATTTTGTGCATGTGGAGGCCATGTTCTTTTATTTTTTTTTCCCCATGGCACTAGGAAGGCTCGGTGCTAGCATCTGATAAAAATGAAGTCAAGCAGGCAGTCTTTCAGAGAGAGAAATAGTTGTGAACACCATTAGGAAAAAAGTATCAACAGGCATTGTGGCCCATGCCTTTAATATCAGCACTCAGGAACTAGAGGCAGACAGATCTCTGTGAGTTTGAAGCCAGCCTGGTCTACAAAGCGGGTTCCAGGCCAACCAGGGCTAGCTCAAAAAAAGAGAGAAGTCCCTGGATCATATCTGGGTCTGATTTTCTTTCTGTCTGTCTGACATAACATTTCCACTTGACAGATAAATAGGAATACTATACCTAAAGTTAAAATACTCAAGAACACAGTGTGCCCTAAAGAACTGAAGGTAGCTGGTAAGGGAATTGGACATCCCCAGCAACCAAAAGGCTGTGCTCGTCCTCATGTTCCTTAGAAAAACTGGTCGATCTTTTCCATGTGTTTACAGTCATTTGTACTCCATGAAACATTTTATTAGACACTTGGCGTATTTGAAATAATTCATCATTTATTTAATTTTTAAAATTTATTTTCACTTCACATATATGAGTGTTTTGCCTGCATGTAAACCACTTTCCTGCACTGCCCACAGAGGTTAGAAGAGGATGTTGGATCCCCTAGGTTACAGA